TTAAAAAAAGAACAAATTTTATTCTAATCTCACTTCATCGTGAACAGCCTTTTTAATTTCACGGTTACGAGTCATTAGAGGTGACTATGAGAAATACCATGCTAATACCAGACTTTGACGGACTGATAAAGAAGTTTTTTTAATAGAATATAGGTGACAAACGCGCACACAGGTCCACCCAATGGTAAGTGGATGCTGTGACCCCATGTGGCCCATAAACATCTACATTTATCCTCGATTAAAGATCAAAATGCTGAGGACTAGATATAATGCCTCGTTTTCAATAAAAGGGATCTTCTAGTTCTCTACACTCAACATACGAAACACAGCAGCATTGAGCTGCTATTTTACGCTGGTATTCTGTAAAAGCGTGGTCCTTCCCCGGTCGAGCCGACCCATTCGTACTACAGCTATAATATAGTTACAGCATGACTCTACCACGTAAAGTTCCGAACGTTTAAATTTATCTTTGCCTCAAGATTGACGGGTACCTAAACATACCGAAGAGAGAAGAAGAAAAAGAAGGGAGAAACAAATAGAAGAGAGAGAATTTATAACCTAGGTCCGAAGGAATCCCTTAGAGAAAAATTTTAAGAAATAAATATATTAACTTTGGCCTCCCAATATATTTACGAAAATTTCATGTATGTACACAAAAATAGTTTTTATTAAAATAGTGATGTACATTCTGTAAATACCACGAACAACCATAAGTTAGTTAAACCAGTTACTCGACCCCAAAGAATCAGTAATTCCTTCATGGGGCAATGTATTCGCTTTTACAACAAAGTCCCAGAAAATATAAGGCACTATCTACCAAAAAGTTTTAAATCATTATTAACCAAAAATTGTTTACCAATGGTTATTATACGAGGGTGGATTGAAAAGTACTCGGCCTAACACAGATTCATTCAATTCTAAAAATCAAATCTACCCACATTATTTAGTTCAGTTCAGACTAGTTCATTGTGTGAAGTTCGAAACGTGTGCGATAATTAGTTGTGATTTTATAAATTTATTAACAAAGTAATCGGACATAATTTCCGCGAATGGAGCAAATCGAGCAGCGTGCCGTCATTAAGTACCTCCATAAGAAGGGGCTATCATCAAAAGCCATCCATGATGACATGGTCAGTATATTAGGTGATTGTGCTGTGTCATATTCATCCGTCAAAAAATGGATAGCAGAATTTAAGCGTGGTAGAGAGAGTGTGAAAGATGAACCCCGCTCTGGAAGGCCTTCGACGTCAACTACTGACGAAAATATTAAAAAAGTACTTGATTTAATAATGGGAGACCGCAGATTAAAAATTAGAGAGATAGCCGAGATTATAGGCTATCTCTCTAATTATGACCGAACGAACTCAAAACATCATTGTCAACGAGTTGGTTTTCCACAAGGTGTCTGCGAGGTGGGTTCCGCGACTGCTTTCAGTTGAACAAAAAAGGACGCGATTGACTATTTCACGCGACTGTTTGGAGTTATTTGAAGCCGATGCAGATGATTTTTTGAATCGTTTTGTTACTATGGACGAAACATGGGTTCATTACTGTACACCGGAAACAAAACAACAATCAAAACAGTGGAGAAGACCTGGTTTACCACCCCCTAAAAAGGCTAAGTCGATTTTGTCGGCAAATAAGGTGATGGCTTCAGTATTCTGGGACTCGAAAGTTGTGATTATGATTGATTATCTTGAAAGGGGTCAGAATATAAACTCTGATTACTACTGCACCTTACTACGTCATTTACGAGAGGAAATAAAAGAAAAACGTCGAGGAATGCTCAGAAGAAAAGTCCTGTTTCATCAAGATAACGCCCGTGTTCACACGTCAGTACAGTCAATGGCTGAAATTCACAACTGTGGCTTTGAACTGTTACCGCATCCGCCGTATTCACCTGATCTGGCACCATCAGACTTCTTTCTGTTCCCTAACCTAAAAAAGCACTTGGGAGGTCAAAGATTTTCGACAAACGACGAGGTCAAAGCAGTTGTAGACGCATATTTTGACTCTAAGGAAGAATCATTTTTTTTCAACGGTCTAAATGCTTGGAAGGGGAGGTGGCAAAAGTGTATTGAACTTGATGGTGATTATATAGAAAAATAAAAATATAACTGATTTAGTATGTGTTTATTTTCTTGGTTAGGCCGAGTACTTTTCAATCCACCCTCGTACTACTAACTACATACTACATGATTGACAAAACCCCTGGGAATGAGGTGATCGCTACCATGCTGTTTCTTATATCTTCCATACCAATTGTATAAAATAATATATTGTAAATTGTTTTTTTAAAACCCTGATCTTCTCTTCACAGTGTACGCCAAAAGTGCGAGACAACTATATTTTTACGAGCTCATGATGATAATGAAAATGAATGTTAACTGTCGATTTATTACGTTTTCCTTTTTTTTATAGAATATGAGTGACAAACGAGAGCACACAGTCCACTACATCACCATCACCACAGTGATGGTAAGTGAAGCTGTGACCTATAGACATCTACATTTAATGTCAATTAAGAATCAAAATGCAGATGCGTTGTCACCCCTGAGGAATAAGATGGAATGCCTCGTTACCAGTAAAAAAGGTATCCGGTTCTCTACACACAACATACGAAACATAGCAACATTAAGTTGGTATTTTACGATGGTACTCTGTGAGAATATCTCGACGATGAAAGAAAGTGTCGTGAGGATATCTGCATGTCTGATAAATAAAAAATATTTCAGGGACCATCCCTAACTCCCAAAATCCCTCTCAGTAACAAGAAAAGACCTGTGCCTTTCCTTTTTATTTTTAGGTAGCACAAAACAGTACGACCTACGCCTCTCTGCATTGCCGTTTCTCGGATTGTACCTAAATGTCTTAGAAACCTTCTAGAATTTTATTTTTTATTTTAGCTTGCTACACGCGCTTGCTTGTTTTCGATGCCGTCCAGAACGTGGTCAATCAGCACTTATAATTATATAAACAGTTTGAGTGGTGCCGACGGGAATCGAATTCGAGTTGCTCATGTTGAATGAAATATAAATCGATCGCTTATTTTGAATTTATTGTCCCAATGAAGGTTAATTGAATTATTAGAACAAGACTTCTAAACAGATTTGTCAAGCAGTTTTAAAGTTTTAATAGTTTCATCCTTGAAATTATCAAAACCTCATCACTTGTACTCACAATAAATTTTAATATCTATTTATTTATATAAGAGCCGTGGTAGCTCAGAGGCTAACCGCTCGCTGTAAAATTCAAAGCTTAGAATAATAATATTATTCTAAGATTCAAAGTATGCGAGCAAGCCGGGTTCGATTTCCGCCGGCACCATTGAAATTGTTAATTGCAATTTTAAGTGCCAATTTACCACGTGCTCAACGGTGGAGGAAAACATCGTGAGGAAACCTACATATCTAAGAAATAGAGGAAAAAATATTTCGAAGACATGTGAAGTTCGCCAACACACATTGGGGCAGTGCGGCGGACATTTCCTTGCCCTAAACCCTATCAGAAATGAGAGGAGGCCTGTGCCCAGCAGTGGGATGTATAAACTGTTACTTTATTTTTATTTACTTATTTAGCAGGCAACAAAGCAATACATCAAAATCTTAGTCATTATAACACATTAATCCGCCATTTTACAGAAATCAAGTCAAACTCTAATTCAAGCCAGGATCAAGGTATTCTTTTAAGCTGGCTTATTCTTAAAAAAGGTTTTAACTATGTATATCGTTCTTTTAGTTTATACCTATATTCTGTTCATAGATATCTTGAAGTGTTCGATACTCATTTATAAGCGACTACTTTTATTGATGGCTTTGTTCGATGTACATATTAATATTGCACAGTGTAAAGACACTACGCAAATACACTTGATAAAAAAAAGTTACTAAATTAATCTCAATATTAACGTTTTTTTTTTTCATTAAGTTTATTAGTAGAATTGTCTCCTGTATCGTGGAGGCGTTTTACACACATAAATGGACAAATATCCACATCCGCAACAATTATTTGTTGGCATTAAAACACTTGATCTGTTCGGGATTCAAACCCGCGGCCCTGCAGCGCAGCGGTGCAGTTAACACTTAACCGCTGCGCTTCCATGCCGGCAACAAATATTTTTATCAATTGAATTCGCTTTGTTACAGTATAAATCTTTTATCTGAAGGCTGCAACTTAAATTTATATTAGCATAAAATATTAAGTTTTAAAGCGGTTTTGAAGCCACAGCCCAAGAGAAAACTTAAATTGTCACAACTTAGGAGTAAGTATATCTGTATGTAATTAGATTCTATAATACCTTTTTCCTTCAAAGGTTCGGCATGAGAAACATTTAAGTGTAACAGTTTTTTTTTTGTTTTCAAAGAATAAATACAATATATGTTATTTTATTAATGCGTGTTGCAAATAACAAACACCTTTTACAAAGAAAGGTTTATCCCAACCCAAAAATCCATTCATGATAATTTTAACGCTCAAATTGTTTGAAGAACAGGTAATTTTCTATATAAAATTTTAATATTGTGTAAGTTTTTGGTAAAACTTGTTATTAAATATTCTATGTAGTTTTTATCTTATTTACATTATAGAAACTATATATTTCTTGTTTAATTTTTATTTAAAAATAGATGACTACTTGTTAATATTTATTAATAATAATAGAATATTTGTATAATAAAGAATGAAATATTTTACACGTCTGTGCATTTTACTAGTGCATGATAAACAAATTGCAGTTTGTTTTTAAACCACGTGTCAAACTACAATGTAGAGAACAAAGCCAAATGTAAACAATTCAATATTTATGTTGGGGAAAAGGTATTTATAGACAGCCAAAAAAAAATTAACCAGTTGATGTTTAGGTTTTATACCGATACAATTATTTACCAAAAAAGTACAGTAAAAAAAAATTACAGGTACGATGCACAAAGCGCCAAAAATATTAATATACGTCCTTGGAAAGTTATAAAAATAAAATCTTTTAATTTAAAATATAAACTTACCACCAGTTACCCGTGACAGCTTGGACAAACAGAATAAAAGAACAGAAAACTTTCCAAAAAAGCTTCATATTGCTCGGAATTATATCAAAATAACACTTTAAATATTCTATTTACAATTAAACCACTTTAAAAGTTGTTCACTCCACAAAAGCACAACGAAACATCAAAATTATATTTGCATATCTTTATTAACAGAATATTAATAAACAAAAAAAAATTAAACAAGAAGCACAAAACAATAACATAACATTTTAACCACAAAACCAATTATAAAATCGAAAACCAAAAATTGAGTAAAATAAACTTTTTAAAACTCTCGTAAAAGTTTATGTCACTGAAGAGACTCGAAAAAACAATGGGCAGGTAAATATACAACGGCAAGATTTATTAAAAAAAGAAAAAAGCGGGAGTGTTCCTTTTTCAAATTCGAAAGAGACTTTGGAACGGTTATGTTTAGACGAGCGACGCGCCTGCGATCCGTGCGCATGGAAATACAAAACCAGACTGGCTTGCTTTTAAGTCGTTTGTAAGTATTCCATAGGATTCGCCGTAAGGGGAAGGGTCGAAATGGAGGGCGCGTAAATGCAATACAAGCACGAGTTCATCCTTTAAAGCCCTTACCACGAGTTACGACAACTATACTGCACTTCGAAATGTCAAGGCAAAAATATGTGTCCCCATGCACGTACCAAGAGTTTAATCCTACACCAAAACTCGTAGTAGGAATCGACACCGAACAAATGACATATTCCACGAACCATTATTCCAAGCTTACAACGACGTAAGTAGGTAATACGTTGAAATATTACCACTTACATTCTAATTGATTGCTTGATCGACTTCGATTTAAGACCTTAACTTATCAATTTACTTACGATTCTGATCATTGATCCTAAATAAGCCAAAGTAAGCTATGACTAGTGGTTGATTGTAGAGTTCCGTACTAAGATAAACTCAATAAAGATTTACATAAAATAGATAAGAGTGAGTCTGTCATATTTCCTCTTATAACTAGCTCTGAGTGGACTCATGATTGGGTATACGATTTAGAAAATCATGAAATGGAAATTCTAGTAACCTTATAGTTTGAAACGCAACGCACTGACATTACAACTGATTAAAGTTTATTAACTTTGAAATTACTTGCGTCTATCATTTCGATTGAAAATGTTACCTACATTTTAACTAAACCTATTACTAAATGTTGCATTTCAACGTTAAAGAGCCTGTTAGGCGCTATATATAAAGTACTTAAAAAGGAAAATGGAATAAGTCAGCTAAGTATCCTTAAAAATCAAAGAAGATGGTCACTTTCTGTCTTCTAGAAACCAAGCAACATTATAAAAAAGGCACTAAAACTCCATTTTATTCTTCAAAAGTGACAACGCATCTGAAAAATAAAAATCAGTGCTTGACTACTACCTGATGGTATGTGGCGATGCAGCCGAAGATGTAAAGCGCACTGTCTTAGTTTAACAACAGCCTAGTCACCTTGCCTTGAAGGCGCCCAATTGGTAGTGGAATGGAAAAACACACTATAGCAAATTATTTCACTTCTTTGCCGTACGCGTGAATAAAGACAAAGCGAACCGTATGGTTCTTTGTTTAAAGTTCGTTCCAGTGACCGAGGACTGCAGTAGCCACATATAGGTAGATCCTTAGCTTGTTTGTCACTCCATTACTATAAAAAGGTGAAATAACGTACAATAAACTTGTCAATAGACAATTATTTATTCAGTAACTTACATTCAGAGAGATTTAACACAGTATATAAAATCCTTGCGGATTTTATCGTTTAAACCTCTACCAGGCGATAGATGATAGATGTAGATGTCTATGGGCCACAGCAACCACTTACCATCAGGTGGTCTGTGTGCTGTGCTCGTTTGTCATCCTATCCTATAAAAAAACATCTCGCACACTACGTTCGAATACAAATCTTTTACTGTTTTTGTACTTGTTTATCACTCCATTACTATAAAAAGGTGAAATAACATACAATAAACTTGTCAATAGACAATTATTTATTCAGTAACTTACACTCACAGAGATTTAACACAGTATATAAAATCCTTACGGATTTTATCGTATAAATCTCTACAAGGCGCGTGAGTGTACAAGCTTGATTGTGGATGTGGTCTCTTTTACATAGAGCAAATAAAATCTAATATATAAAAATGAACATTTCTTTCTTTGTTTGTACGTTTTCTATGCGTACCCATTTCATTGATCTGGTTTACGATATTATCTGTGATATCTGTTTTTCGGTATGTTAGTCTTCTATACCATTTTTCATGGAATAAGTGTGCGTATCACAGGCTACCTGATGATAAATGGACGCTTTGGCTCATAAACAATTAACAGACACCTATCCTCAATTAAAAATCAAAATGCAGATTCGTTGTCACCCCTGAGAACTAAGAGTGTAGAATGGTCCTCTACACTCAGCGCATGAAACACAGCAGCACTAAGCTGTAATTTTACGCTGGTATTCTGTGAGAGCATGGTCACCAGTCGTGCCGACCCATTCATGGTACAACTAGTACATATAATAATCTAAATATAAGCTATGTAATTACGATGAAACTACTGGGAGTAGTATACGCGCCCGAGAAGGCTTCTGACAAAAGAAAGAGTCATTGCAACACACGACATCACTAGTGATTTATAAAACCCACAATAAGAGAAAAACATCCACAAAATATTGTTTGAAAATATTTCCGACGCTTCGGGAAAAATGTAGTCTGTGAACATATTCACGTTCTCTCCCATCAGAACATCAGATTTAGTAAAACCTTGCCTAATAACTTCCATTTTTACTAAGGACAATGGGTGAAATAAATGAAATTTAAAAGATTACAGCCTAATTTCTTGTAGCTAGTTGTACCTGGGTGCCGTGGTAGCTCAGGGGCCAAGTGCGCGCTGTAAATTTGCAACTCGGATTCCGCCACAGCTGGCACCAATTAAATCGTTTATTGCAATTTTAAGTGCTGATTCACCACGTACTTGGCGGTGAAGGAAACCATTGTGAAGAAATCTGCATATCTGAGAAATAAGAATAAAATTAACTTTTAACTTTATGTAGCTGGGCGTACCTCTAACATCTAGTTGGATATTTGTAATTAGTAAAATTAAATCCAAACCCAAGCAACACTTTAATTTGCCACTGCGCACACAGTTATAATTGAAATTAAAAATAGGCATATTAATTGAGGTAAAATCTCTAAAATTAGTTTTATTTAACATATAAATTTATAACTACAATTGTATAAAAATTAAAAAAAAATATATATATATATATATATATATATATATATATATAAAAGAAATGGAAAACCAGGGAGAGAAGTTCTTTTTAAGACAAATAAGAAAAAGAATATATATATATATAGCGGCTGTCAGGTTTACCATTTTATTCATAGGTGTGTCCGTGGACTGCAATATTCACTTACCGTCAGGTGGACTGTGAGTTCGTTTGTTACTCTATCTTTAAAAAAAAATATTATGTTAATCTTGCCATGTGGTGGCGACTCCATGACTCCATTTCATCCCAAGAGTATAGTAGGACTAGTAGAGTAAGAAGCGACTAAGGAATATGCCAGGAGTATATTAAAAATCTCCTCTGCTAACCAAAAAGTTTCTTAAAAAATTATACAAACTTGTTATAAAAACTGTGATCAGCAATAGGCCTTACCTGCTGACGGTTTTGTAAATCATGTTTACAACCACAATAAACAGTAATTGTACCCTATCAAACGGACCGACATATCGCAGAACTTTTTGTATATACAACGCGGTTGTTTATATCTCAATACTTTTTATCTAGAAATAATAAACCAGCTAATCGCTGATATAAAATTACAAAAAATAATAAGATTATACTGGAATGTTATATATATACATCTTCTTCTTCTAATATACAAAAATTAATTTTTGTATGTTCGTATTTTATGCGCTGCCATACCATCAACTTGCGTTAAAACTTTGTCAACTAATTGCTTGCACTTGCGCGAAGGTTATACACATAGTACAATTAACTTACAGTAGGTGGCGCGTGAGTAGTATCCAGAAATTTATTTGAAATTTGCAACTATTGTCATCATTATTCCTAATTAAACAATATAGCTCTTCCAAATTTAAAACGATATTTCCACAATTATTTCTTCTGAGGCAGCGCCGGGTGCCGGCTAGCTTATCATCATCATCATCATCATCATTACAGCCTTTCATAAGTCCACTGCTGAACGTAGGCCTCCCCCAAAGAATGCCACAAAGCACGTTCCTGAGCCACCTGCATCCATCGACTTCCTGCATGTCTTACCAGGTCGTCACTCCATCTCGTGGGGGTCGCCCTACACTTCGCCTACCGGTAGGAGGCTGCCACTCAAGAACCTTTCTTTCCCATCGGTTGTCGGTTCTTCGAGCTATATGGCCGGCCCACTGCCACTTCAGCTTACTGATCCGTTGGGCTATGTCGGTTACTCTGGTTCTACTGCGGATATTCTCATTTCTAAGTTTATCACGCAGAGAAACCCAGAGCATAGCCCTCTACATAGCTCACTGAGCGACCTTGAGCTTCCTCATACGGCCAGCAGTGAAGGACCACGTTTCAGATCCGTAAGTCATCACTGGCAACACGCACTGGTTGTACAATTTCGTTTTAAGGTTATGAGGAATGTCTGACGAGAAGATGTGTCGTAGTTTCCCGAACGCTGCCCAGCCGAGTTGAATCCGTCGATTGACCTCTCAGTCGAAGTTGGACTTACCTAGTCGGACTACTTGTCCCAGGTAAACATACTCGACAACAACTTCGAGCTTAGTGCTCCTAACAACTACCGGCATAGGTGTGACAAAACAAAGATCATGTTTAATGTCCATGTACATTAAACATGATCTTTGTTTTGTCCATGTTCATCCTAAGACCTATTCGTTGGAAGACACTATTGAGGTCATTGAGCATGGTGCTTAGGTGCTTCGGCGATTCTGCCATAAGGACTATATCGTCGGCAAATCGAAGGTGAGTGATGTACTCGCCATTAATGTTAATACCGTATCCTTTCCAGTCCAGAAGCATGAAAACGTCTTCCAATACAGCGGTGAAGAGTTTCGGGGATATAACATCACCCTGTCTTACACCTCTCTGCAATTGGATAGGTTTCGTACTCTGGTTCTGTAATCGGATAGCCATCGTAGCTCTACTGTACAAACACTTCAGCACTTCGATATACCGACAGTCAACTTGGCACCGCTGAAGGGACTGCAGCACCGCCCAAATTTCGACGGAGTCAAAGCCTTTCTCATAGTCCACATACGCCAGACATAGTGGCAAATTTTACTCCTCGGACTTTTGTACAATTTGTCGAAGGATATTTATGTGGTCTATGGTGCTAAAGCCCATTCGGAAACCGGCTTGTTTGGGAGGCTGGAAGTCGTCAAGTCTGCGCGTGAGACGATTCGTGATGACTCTCGAAAACAGCACTTAGACGCGGCTCAGAAGGGAAATCGG